TAATTAAAATTACCAAAACTCAGGTCTCTAAGACTAAAAATCCAACATTAAAACCAATTCGCCCAGGTAGTTGGTATAATGACCATAAAAATGATTTCCTTCTCTGGGATGATGAAATCAACCCAGTGAATAGCTTCGTTCAAGCTTTTGTCAAATATTTCGCAACCTCAGAACGTAAGTATCAATGGCAAGTAGATCTGAATACATTAAAGCAGAAAGAAAACAAGAAGGTTGATCAATATACTTATCAATTTAAATGAAAAAGGTAGACTCTGACCGACAGCTACCCATGACTTACGTGGTAAAAATGTTTTTAGAAGGTCTTCACGGTAAAACAGCCGCATTAATATCTGTAGAAGACTTTGAAACATTGGATGATGCGATTGTGAAAGCCCAAAAGATTCAAGCTAAGACCTACTATAAAAATAAAGATAGTAAGAATGAGGCTATCAATAAGCTAATAGATAATCTAACCCAACAAATGTAGCAAATAGTGACAAATTGTGATCGATTAACTACCGCCCTGGATGCTAGAATTAAAAGTTAGCTCGTCCAGCCCAGAATAACTAAAATAGACCTCGCCAACCTCGACAAACCAACAAAGGTGGTATTTTATGCTACAATTGTAGTGAAAGAGGCTATATCGCTCGAAACTGCCATTCCGAATGATGTCAAACCCCTTGAAAGACCTCTGTGACCGAAAATGAAGATACGGCCTGCTCAAATATCAATCTGGGTAATATTTTTACCCAAAAACCTGAAAAGGAGATAAAAGCTGCCTTCCAACCTAACCATCAACTCTATGCAATAAAGAGGCAGGAAAGACCTGACACAGAGACCAATCTTAATTGAGAAGAAAGGTTAAGAAAAAGGGTAGCTTTAGAGCAAAATCAGGAACTAGCACCAACCAAACTGTCTCTATAGATAAAATTATCCAAGAACAGACCCAAACCCCAACCCAAACAGAAATAGCTAAAAGACCAAGATATATCCAAGAACTCTCTACGATTGATCTGGTACCACCCTATAATATTGCTAAAGACTTAC